CCCATTTTCTCCCTGAGTTTAAACAGCTTTCTTTTAATTTCTTCCTATCTGCTCCCTGCCCCCTGCCATTAGTTACGTGTTTTGAATTTCTGGTTCTAGGTGTTTTCTACATCCTCAGGTTGTTTTAGTATATTTAATTCCATTGGAGTGCTGACTTACAGTTATTTTTTCTATATCACAGTCGGTTTTCAGAGGGGGAGTAAGGCTCTTTGTTGGTATGTGGGAAATTTCTATCTCTGACTTTCTCCAGTGGCTCTGTATGGACTTGACTTTTCTCAAAGTTCATTTTTATGTTATTGGGCTATTTTATAACATTCCTAGTTTGAGAGTGACCTCTTCCATCACTACAATCATCCCCCCTTATCCATAGGGTCTTATCCAACATCCTCAGTGGATGCCTGAAACCACAGATAGTAACAAACCCTATATATACTGTGTTTTTTCCTGTACATACATACCTATGATAAGGTTTAATTTATAAATTAGGCACAGTACTCTTGTGCTTTGAGGCTATTAAGTAAAATGAGGGCTACCTGAACACAAGCACTGTGATACCACAAGAGTCAGTCTGATCAAGTGACTCACAGGTCGGCAGCACATATAGTGTGGATACACTGGACAAAGGCATGATTCACATCCCAGGCAGGACAGAGCTGGATGGCATGAGATCTGATCATGCTACTCAGAATGGTGCACAATTTAAAACTTATGAATTGTCTACTTCTGGAGTTTTCCATTTAACATTTTCAGAATAAGATTGACAGTGAGTAACTGAAATCATGGAAAGTGAAACTGTGGATAAGAGGAACTTCTGTATAGTAGAGTCCATATATTTTAGCATGGTTTGTTTTGCTGGTGGGGGAAGGGCGAGATCCCCTCCCCACTCCCTGATTTTATGGCTCATTTTTGTTTTATAGAACTTTACATTTTATCTTTTTCTTGATTTACTCTTCATCACCTAATTGTCAAAGGGTTCTTCTTCCTTTCTTTCTTGCTTTTTTCTCCCCTATAAGCTATGTGTTTCAAATGATTCCTCTTTTAAGTTGTGCCTGTCCCTTTAAATGGATCCTGCTCAGTTAAATCACACACAGAACTGTGTTGCTTAATTTACACATATTGGGGATTTTCTAGATATCTTTTTGTTATGGATTTCCAATTTAATTCCATGGTAGTCATAAAACATATTCTGTATGATTTTAATTTTTTGAAATATACTGAGACTTATTTTATGGCCCAATATATGGTCTATCTTGGTAAATGTTCCACATCCATTTGAAAAGAATTGTACTCTACAGTTGTTGGGTGCAATGTTTAAAAAATGTCATTTAAGTCAATGTGGTTGACAGTGTTGTTCAGATCTCTACGTTTTTATTGATATTTTTTATAGTTGTTCAATCATTAGTGCTTTGTCTAATATTAACATAGCCAAGTCAGTTTTCTTATGCTTATTGTTTGCATGATATATCTTTTCCTGTTCTTTTAAACTTCATCTATCTTTGCCTTTAAATTTAAAGTGTGGCTCTTTTAGACATCTAATATTTGGGTCCTGTTTTTTTTAAAAATCTGGTGTGATAATCTCTCTGCCATTTAATTGGTGTATTTGGTCCATTTATATTTAATGTAATTACTGATATGGTATGATTTAAGTCTACTGTTTTATATTTGTTTTCTCTTTGACCTGTTTTGGCTTGTTAGCTCTATTATTTTCTAAGCAGTTGTGCTAACAATACATATCTGTAATTTATCAAAGTCTAGAGTTAATAATGTAATGATTTAAGTCTACTGTTTTATATTTGTTTTCTCTTTGACCTGTTTTGGCTTGTTAGCTCTACTCTATTATTTTCTAAGCAGTTGTGCTAACAATACATATCTGTAATTTATCAAAGTCTAGAGTTAATAATGTAACACTCTGCATTTCTATCACACATCTGACACTTCCCATTTCTGATTATTATTCTGACATTTTCTGCCTTCAAACAGACTTCAGGCCCTAACCATATCAATAATTACAAAATATAAACGGACTAAATACTCCAATTAAAAGGTAGAGATTATCAGATTGGATAAAAAAGCAAGACCCAACTATATGTAAAATCTATACTCCAGGAGAAAGCATCCCGACTGTAAAGAGTTCGGAGAGACAGAAAGGGGGACATGTAGGAAAGATCAGCAAATCTTGGGTGCTGGGCTTAGAGCAGAAAAAAATCTGAGCCCTGATAAAAGTGCATTCTTCCTCCCTGGCTCACTCTCCAAGCAGTGCTGAGACATCTCATTGAGTATTGGCATCTAATTAAGTATTTTTCAAAAATCATTCATCAGAAAGTGAGCCCAGGTCCTTTTGAGGAAGGCGAGGTATTGCATAGTCAACTGCAGCTTACATTTTCTCCAAATTGCAGGGACTTGTATAGAGGACCTTGGTCTGATCCACATCCCCAACCAGGGCCACAGAGCAGGCTTTCCTGCTTGGCACCAGGAGCAACATAGGAAGGTGACACAGAAGAGGTCAGATCCAGGCTGTACCACTTATGGGTTGTGTGACCTCGGGTGAACCACTTCACCTCTGAGCTACAAGGTTCTCATCCATAATGAGCATATAAAGCTCAGGGCTACTGTATGAAGGGCACCTGCTGGGCTTGTGTAGGGCACAGTCAGCATAGCCACAAGGGGAGGCCCCAATAAAGCCTATCTTGCAGAGGTGCCATGAGTATTTCATGAGGAGGTGTATGAAAAACAACTAACCTAGGACCTGACAAGTGAGACATAGTAAATCAACTATGGTACGTCCATTCAATGGAACACCACACAGCCATTAAACTCATGACAGAGATCTCTTTTTACTGAAGCAGAAAGCTCCTCATGCTTTATTGTAAAAGGAAAAACTCAGCCTATATAATACCAAGGATAATATAATCCAGTTTTGATCACCAAATTTATAGTTACCTACACACGGAAAATCCTAGCAGGATAACCCAAAGTGTTGTGTTGGACTTGGATTGGACATTTTTTCTTTTGTCAGTATCTCTGCATTCTTCTACAATTAATATGCTTTCAATTTGAAATTTAAAAACAACAACAAAATGTGTTTTTAGTTCGCTTGTCTCCTTTCTATCTATGACTCTTCTCTGAGAGTCATTTCTAAAGAGTAACAGTGGTGCCATAGACATCCTCTTGCACTTAACACCATGAGGCAAGAATTACCACATTCATTTTGTAGGGGAGAAAGCAGATTCTCAGAGACAGCAAAGCTACTGTAGAGAAGATAACGTGGCTGCTGCCCTGTGGTTTAATGTGAGGAAGATGCAGGGCTGTTCTATGAAGTGCAGGTGCCCTGGCCACAGTGGGCAATGGGATGGAGTCGTCAGAGCAGGGGCTCAAGAGCCAGATGACCTGGATTAAGTCTCAGCTCTCTCACTTCCAGCCTGTGTGACCTTGGATGAGTGACCTCACCTCTCTGAACCTCGGTTCCCTCATATGTAAAATGGGGATAGCTCAACCTTCTGAAGTGGCACTTTAGCTAAGGACAGTATGACATAACGTGTGAAGTGGTTCCTGCCCAGAGTAGGTGCCCAGTGACTGAGAGTCTTGATCATGTTCATATCCTTTGGTCTAGCTCCAGACCCCTGATTTCACCAGGTGCTGTCTCTGATAAACACGATCAAGAGGAAGGTGGACCCTGAGCAGTCATGGGGCAGAGCTCACCCTGCCCAGCTGGGTGGGTCAGAGGGGTGCATCCCTGACTGTGCACACTGGACAAAAACAGCCACAGCCTGGACCAGGGCTCACAAGGGAGGCAGTGCGGTCACAATGAACTGGGGTGTGACCGACATTGATTAGACAGAGGCCAGGGAGCCTAGAGGTCCTATGCTGCTCTTGATAAACCATCCCGCCTGACATTTTTGTAGGTAAAAAACCTATGAGGGTTCTTCAAATAATTCGTGGAAAAATAAAATTAAAAAATACTACTACTCTTTCTATGAACTTTTTGAAGTACCCTCATATTTATACTTATCTGAGGTTAGAATCTGACTCGGTTTGTCACACAAATATTTTTGTACTTTTTCATATGCACTGAATTTTCCAGGAATTCAAGCACCTGTAAATCAAGGAAAGAGTTTTTCCCCATTTTTCCCCTCACCTCAGCAGTGATAACCCTGCCTGCAATGAGTTTGATATAAATACATGTCAATCTACACTTGAGGCTATCACACTCATGGTGATGCTGCATCTAGAATAGAGAAAGGGAGGCTCTCCAAGCAGACGGGATGGCATGTGCAAAGGCCCTGTGGTGGGAGGGAGGGAGTTATGTTGCAGAAGTGAAGCAGACCCCTGTGGTGGGGCAGAGTGCGCGTGCAGGACTGAGGGAGGTGATGAGGCTGGCAAGGCTTCAGGAGCTAGGCAATGCAGGGTCTTGTGGTCATAAAAGAAGAAAGCCTTTCATCAGAGCAGGACACGTTCTGATTTGCATTTTGAAAAAAAAAATCACTTGGGTAGAGCATGGAACGCAAGGGATGATAGTGGAGGCAGGGAGTCCAGTAAGGCAATGCAGGGTCTTGTGGTCATAAAAGAAGAAAGCCTTTCATCAGAGCAGGACACGTTCAGATTTGCATTTTGAAAAAAAAAATCACTTGGGTAGAGCATGGAACGCAAGGGATGATAGTGGAGGCAGGGAGTCCAGTGAAAGGTTCCTGCAGCCACACAGGTGACAGGCGGCGGTGGTCGGGGCCGGTGAGGATGCAGTGGAGTCGGGGGGAAGTGGATGAAGTGGGGTGACATCAGTGAGGGAGAATCTACAGAATTTGGAGAGGCCCTGGATTTGGGAGGGAGGAGGTGTCCAGGTTTCCCTCCTAGGCAATTCCCAGGATCCAGGATTGTAGATGGATGGTGAGCCCTGAACCCAGGAGATGAAAAAAAGCAGGAAGATCGTATTTTCATTATAACCATCGCCTGAGGCCTCCCTCACCTGTCCTGGGCCTTCTCTACCCCACCTGTGGCAAACTTACCTGACTCTGCCACCTCAGCAATGGCCACCCCCTGCTCGTACGCCATGAAGCCCAGGACTGAGAAGATGGCAAACCCCGCCACGAAGCTGGTGCCACTGTTCAGGCAACAGAGCATGATGCAGTCCCTGTGAGGAAGCAGCGAGAAGCACTGGGGTCAGGTGCATTGCTAGAACATTCTCCACCTGCGCACTGCAGCCATCACGGGGTGCAGGCAGGGAAGTGCAGACAGCTCTGTTTTCCTGATGGAGCACTCATGGTTCAGAGAAGTTAGGTGGCTGGCCCATGGTCACATAGCTGCTCCTGCATTTCTAGAATATAAGGTAGGTCATGGACCAAAAGCATGAGGAGGGGATGGGAAGGAAGGGAGGATGGCATGTGGAAAAATCTAGAACTAGTAAGAAAATACTTGGAGACAAACCAGCATTCCTCCAAATCCCTAGTAGGAGAGAAAGCAAGGGAAAGCAAAAGAGGATTGTGCTCCTGGGAGCTCAAAGCAAGGAGGGCAGGAGGAGCCTCCGTGGGAGACACGGCTGCTTCTCAGCCAGGGGAGCAACCGTGGACTTCACACCTGAAGCTCCTGCAGGTCTCCAGGAGGAGAGGCTATATCACAGCCCCCATCCTGGGCCAGGTCATTTACCAGAGCAGCGACTCACAGACCTTGTCACTCAGTCTCTGCTCTACTGCTACAAGGGAGGAGCCCCCTCCAGGTTGGACCCCCACAGAGGGATTTATTGGAGCAGTGACTGTCCCCTGCTCTTGGGAGGGACTCACTAGCTAAGAAGAGCCAGCATGAAGCTATGACCCAGGCAGGAAAACCAGACCACACATGATGGAGCTTTGTCAGGATGAACATGGTCCCCTCAGGTCCCAGCCCCTCCTACCACAGCCTTGGCCAAGTCACGGAATCAACCTCCCAGAATCTCAGCCACTGCAGAGCCTGGACTTGAGACTTAGGCATACAACACAGGTCAATGCCCCACTTTGTAGGGGAGGAGCTCCAAGGGGGTCTTGTCCAATCTCCTGTCAGAGACACGACTAGCCTCAACAGCATCCCTGTGGGTGGTGAGCTGGCCTCTGCTAACACACCCAGGGAACAGAAGCTGCCCATCTCCAGCTATATGACAGGGTACTTGGATAACAGGATCTTCTGGGCCTTGTCCTAGATCAAATAATTTTCAGTAAGCAGACACCCCCCTATCTGATTCCTTGAGGTTGAGTCTACTTCCCTGCCCTACTGACTTTAGGCTTAGCCACATGCTTTGGACAGCAGGATGTTAGCAGATGTGACACAAACAGAGGTTTGAGATGTGCTTGCATGATTGGACTTGTCCTATATTATTTCTGTGATTTTCTATGAGAAGAACTTCCCTAGGGAGCTGCTGTCCCTTTAGCTTGGACCCTAGAATGTAAACACATGGAGCAGACTTGAGCCTGGTCTGGGCCCTGAAGCCAAACCCACCCAACCCACAGCCTGAAGGAGAGCTTCTCCAGCTGACAGCAGACTCGTGAGCAAAAAAACCACTTGTGGACAGTCTCTGAGTGCTGGGGCTGTTTGTTACACAGCATTACTATGGCAGTGGATGACTGGTGCAGGTCCTTTTAGAGAACTCTTCTGACACTGTAAATGTTGGCCTTTATCTGCAAGCCTGATTTACCTCTGCTCAGAAAGAAATTCAGCTTAGTCCAGGGAAGGGCAGAGTTACTCCTGAGGTTGGGATAAATCTGCTCCTGGTGCCTGTTTCCTAAAGCCTGAGGCAAAATGGCCCTGGTTTATCAGACAGTAGGAAGCAGGATGATAAAGGGAGAAAAGCACTTTCTCCCGTGTTCTACACTCTGCAATTCTCCTGTGTCATGCTGAGGACCTGCAGTGCGCTGGGGTCTGTACTAGTTTCCTGAGGTCGGGAAGGGGAGTCACGTACTTAAGGTCTCACAGTCAGTTATTGGTGATGCCAGGGACATGAATCCAGTTGTCTCAGACACCAAAGTCCACGCTCTTTCTAGGAGCTGAACAAAAATGACGCACCTTCAGAATTAAGATTTTTGAGTCCTGACTCGAACCATTATCTCTGGGCATCCACATGACTGATGAAAAACAAATGTTCCTTTTTATAAGATCCCTATCCTCCTATAGAGGCCTCTCAAGTGACTTCCTCACGCCACAGAGAGACAGACGGAGGGACAGAGAGGCTCTTGACTGACCTGGGGTCCCTTTCAGCCCTGTGGCCCTCCTCTGGACCCTGGAGCCCCCACACCTGCAAGCAGATGGAGCTTAGTGGCATGTCTTCTGAAGTGAGGATTTTCCCTGCCTAGTTTGCTCCACTCCCATCCCTCTAATTCCTTCCCAAGCCCTGTGGCCCTCCTCTGGACCCTGGAGCCCCCACACCTGCAAGCAGATGGAGCTTAGTGCATGTCTTCTGAAGTGAGGATTTTCCCTGCCTAGTTTGCTCCACTCCCATCCCTCTAATTCCTTCCCCTGCCCCAGCAGTGTCTAGGTGAAAGGCTTATGTAACAGTGCTTTGAAGTCGGCAGGAGCTGAGCTGGGATTTTAAGACCTCCAGTAGCTATTATGCTGTCAGGAGAGAGGGTATTAATTTACTCCGTCTGAGTTGGAAGATCCGCTTGCAGAACAATTTGGAAACGGAAATAAAATGAGCCTTCTGATTCTGCAGTCACCCAGGGGATTTGCTTTCTTCTGCTGATGGGAGAGAGAGGAAAAAACCTGCCTGCTGGACAGGAAAGCAGGAGGGACCCACAGTGGCCAGCATGTAGCACCCACGTTCTCCATGGGGAGCAGCGCCGCTCAAGCCCCACACACAGGCTTAAGACAAGGCAGCTGGGGCCAAATCTTCTTCAACTGCAGTAGGTGGCAAGGAACTGGCCACCCCCAGTAGTGAGGAGTAGGATGCAGGAGGCAGGAAGACTCGGCAACGTGAGTGTGAGCAAGGGGCTTGACCCCGCAGGCTACTGCCTCCTCATCCGCGTGATGCTGTAGTTCCTTTCTCAGTTCCTTGTGTGTGAGCCAGTACTGAACTAGGTCTGAGGGATACAGTGGACAGGGACACCCAGCCCGGGTCCTCATGGAGCTGACAGCCTGGCTAGAGGTGACAGTGACCAAGTGATGGTTGCAGTGCCCAGCATGGAGGGCCTGTGCTGACCATCCACTACTGACGAGGTGAATACTGTGTCCCTCTCTGACATCCCACAGGGCTCAGACTTGGCCCTAGCCAGAAGCCTGCTGTGCAGATCTCCCCACCCCAGTGGCTGTCCATGGTTACATGGGTATTGTGGCTGGCAAAGTGCCTGACCTCTCACCACCAGACCCAACTCCTCTGTGAAAGCCTGGAATAGAGAAAGGATCATATGGACAACCTGGTCTGACCTTCTACCTCTCTAGTATCTGGTCCTCCAGCCATACCCAATTACCCCTTTGCTCAAAGACCTCCAGGAACAACAGAGCTCACGGCCTAATGGCATGCTGGATTCTATAACAGCTTTTCTTTTCAGAGTGTTGGACCTACCCAATATCACTGCCTCAGTTTCCCCAAGTTACAAACTGTATAGACTATGCCATTGCTGTCTGTGTCTCTCATGGTACTGATTCTAGTGGCTCACACTCAGTAGACACACAATAGACACAGTTGACTTAACAAATGAGTTAATAAAATGACCACTAAGCTAAGCTACCTTTCAGAAAAGAGGCAGCAGAGAGGCTGGGGGTGGACGCTGGGAGGCCTTGGTTAGAGTCCAGACCCTAGCACATCAATTTCCCTATCTTGAAGATGGGGATAACGCAGGAAGGACCCTATCATTTACAAAGTTCTCTCAAAGGCATGATCTCACTTGAGCCCCACAACCACCAAGTTATATGGCTGGGAGTTCCAAGTTCCCATCCCACCAGTGAAGTGTGATATAACCCTCTCACATACCCTCACCTACACTGAACAGGACTGATTTTTAGACCACTGCTGTCTTACTACTTGAGAAAAATGATCTCACTATTTTAAGAGCATGTTGCTTATTTTTCTATCGGTATTTTAGTGTTTTTCATATTGATCTGTTTGTATTATTTACATATTATAAATATAAACCCCTTGAGTATCATATTATATACAGTATGTCCTTTAATTTTACAGATAATTTTCACAAAAATGTGGAGATAGAAATTCAGAGATAAAATAAAGTATGTAGGTGATATTTGTATTAACTTGATTTTTTAAAAATTGTAAAAGCAATCTGTACCCAGAGTTAAAAAACAAAACCAAACCTGTTTAAACTGTATATGAGGCACAGGTGGGACAAAGTCCATCTCCTCACCTCTGACCTACCAGTTCTATTCTCTAGACGTGGCTGTTGAATAGTTTCATGTGGTTTTTTTCCAGAAATTTTTAAAGTCCTAGATTTTTACATGAACCAATTTGTCACTTTCTTCTTTTGTAATTTAATTTTTTTTTTATGTTTTCTACATCCTTTCCCATTCTGAGATCAATATTTTATTCCTCGTTTTAGGATGGCTTCCTTTTAAAAAATACCTAATCCGTTAATCACTCTGACACTTATTATGGTGAATATATGGGATGAGGTATGAGGATCTAACTTGATTATTCCCCCCAAATACTTATCCTACCTCAGAATCATTTGTTAAAAACCCCCCTCCTTTCTCGACTAATCTGGGATCAGGGATAGTTTCACTGTCACTACTCCATGCTGTTATCCCTGATTAAGGAGCTCTTGGACTACAGAAGAGATACTCTGTCCGTCCACCCATGAGATAGTCACCTACTACCTACCAGGCACTGAGTTCAGGTGTGCAGAGTCCTCAACAAACAGACCATCATCCTAGCGTTAGGAACCAGGGTGCAGATTTTGCTTCTGCCATGCACTGCTGGGTGACCTTGGGCAAGTCCCCTGTCCCTGTGGATCTCAGCCTTGCTGTAGAACTCAGGCTTCAGGCATGAGAGGCCAGGTAGCTAAGGGCCAGACATACTCGGGCTCACCTCCCTACCTGCACCCCTCCCAGCCCTGGTGCAGCCAGCTGCTGGTTAGACCAAGGGGCAAGGGGGGCACCAGCCACTCCAGTTGGGACAGGAGAGGACACTACAGTCAACTGAGAAGCAGCAGGACACGGGTTTCTAAACAGAAGGCAGAAGAACAAGGCCCTTGGTGTCAGAAGACCTGAGCTGAAGTGTCGGCTTTGCTGCTTACTAGCTGTGTGACCTTGGGCAAGTTACTTATCCACCCTGGGATAAATCTTCACTGTACAAGTTGGCACTGAAGCCTGAGTGAGAGTTGGGGGTGGACTCACTCTGCAGCCTGGAATGGACTTGGATTACATTTGTTATCTTCCCAGCTCCCCGGGTAGCCCACTCTTTGACCCTTGGGCAGGGGGAGGCCAATGAACACCCACCTGTCTCTTCCTGGGGCCCTGCAAGGTGGGCAGACAAATGTGAACTAGTCTATCAGTATGGAGAGCTCTCGGGGTTTGGTGGAGAGCTGGCAGGGCCCGGCTGAATGCTCACCTGTAGCAGTTGTTGTTATAATTGTTATAACTTCCCAGAGCAGTCAGACAGCCCAGGCAGATGGCATAGGAGAAAAAGATCTGCGTTCCAGCATCTACCCAGACCTGTAGGAAGGCACAAAGAGGCTGGTGTAAAAAGAAGTCAGATGTGTGATAAGAAGGGGCCCTGTTCTCTGAAATCCCCCACCCATACCGTACCCTCCAAAAACACTCCACAAAGCGATGATCAAACTTCGTAACCTTCTCAGGACCACTTTTTTTTTTTTTTTAGGAGTTCTATTCTTGGGGACATTTTGATTAAATATAAATGTCCTTCTTTCCAGAATCTTCTGGAGGTTATGGATAATAGCACACTGAATAGCAGGAATTTGGATGTTTAGGATCCTGGCTCCAGCTGTGTGACCTTGGAAAAGTTACTTAACCTCTCTGTGGCTTAGTTTTCTCATCTGCAAAATGGGGAGGGAACTACCCTGTCAGGAGGATTCCTGCAAAAAGGAGTTGAAGCTCCTGGGACCCAGAGCCGCTCATAAGGTAAGTCATGTTTAGGCCAAAATGAAAGCATTCTTTTCCTTGGAATTAAGACTACCATAAGGTTCTGTCCAGGGGAGGCATTGGCATAGCTGACCTGAGCACAAGGGGTGGCAGAGAAGGGAGGGGTGGGGAGGGGAGGAGTGGGGGAGGCCCACCAAACCTATATCACCTTTCAAAAGAGTCCACCCCCCCCATCCCCCCGCTTCCCGTGTGGTGCATTTGGTAACTACTTTCTCCTTTGGCAAAAACTCCCGTGGACAGCATGACACACACAATGGGAATGGCAGTGGCTTCTGTGACACTCCCCTCCCCCCGGGCTCTCTTTGAGATCAGCCCCTAGAAGTTATCACGGAAAATCCACAGCTAAAATCCAAGTGCAGCTGATGAGACTCATGCTCGAGCCTCAAGTGCCATCCAGAGAACAAGGTAGGCACTCAGTGCAAGTAGCAAACATTTATTGAGCACTTACGATGTGCCAGGCAGCTTGCTGAGCCTTTGTGTATTACTGTATTTGAGTATTCATAGCAACCCTATGCAGTAGGTGCCATTATTGGCCCCATTTAACAGCTTAGGAGACTGAGGAACAGAGAGGTTGAGTAACACGCCCAAGGCCACACAGCTGGGAAGTGGCAGATGCAAGTCCATGGAAACCCACCTCTACAGATGCATGCTTAATCAGTCCCAACTTGGAATTGCAGACTTGGAATCAGCCTCAAAAGTTCTCTGCAGTAACCTCTTACCCAACACAGGACTTGATTCTGAATGCTCCAAACAGAATAGTCTCTGCTTGATTACTGCCAGTGACGGGGAGCTCACTATCTCCTGACATGGCCTTCTTCTTCTTTAGAGAGCTCTGACCATCTCCATTTCTCTCTCTTCCATGTAGTAGCACTTTAAAAGTTCAGAGAAAGCATAGTGCCCGTTGGACCTCAAAACTCTCCCTTTCCAGACAAAATACTGTATTTCTTCTCTCTTGGAGATTATATTATACAATACAAACCTCTCTACCATGGGTCTGCTCAAATTTGTTAAGTCATTCAACAAATACTTATTAGAACTGAAGATCATAATGCTGCTTCTGAGCCCAAGAAACGAATGTATTTTTTTCATCTCTAACATAGGTTCATTGGGTTTAGAGCCCCAGAGCTAAATGAGGAATTTAGGGAAAGCTCTTTCATGAAGTGGGGGCAGAGAAGGGTACCAGCAGATTGGAGCTAATTGAGACATGGGTAGGAGAACATGGAAAGAGGGAATATTTACAAAACTCTTTCAAGAAATGTTGCCATGAAGGAGAGGTAGGAAAGTAGCGAAGGAGTAAATAAAATTTAGGGAGGATTTTAAAAAATGGTAGAAACTTAAGGATGCTTAAATGCTAATAGGAAAGGTCCAGTGGAAAAAAAATGGTTGAAGATTCAGGAGAGAAATGGATGTATTTTTAATTCTTCTTGCTCTGCCTCAGGTTCCCCATTTGCTACCTCAGTGAATTTCCCTTTTTACTCAGGAAGGCCAGTAAACAATACGGTGAAACAAGAAACAGTACAGCTGCTGACCCAGGAAACAGGAAACCAGATCTCAGGGGCAACCACCAAGATTCTTGGTGCTTGATTAAACACTAGCCATCCTATCTGCCATGCTTGTTAACGCCTCCGCAAACTGAGTGTCCCTCCTCCACTGTCCTCTGGCTCAGTGTGCAGGCCAGAGTGAGAGAAGCCCCAGACTTGTGGGGAAGCTGGCTCCCTCACTGTGACCAGGCCCCACCAGTCAGCAAAGTGGCCCCTCCCCGACAACATAAATAAACTCTGTGTTAGAAAACACCAAAGACAGCTTTCAATCCACACGCCCCAAAGAAATGCCCCCAAACCCATGATTTTCACTTGCAGGTAATTTCTCTTGCAGTTTGATCACCGAGTACATCAACACTAATATATGCTGGTTTTGCCTACCCAGCATCCATCTCTCCTTTCTGGATAAGAGCACCTCAATTTTCCTTTGGGAAGGCACCCCTCGCCCACTGAGAGGCAGCCTCAGGGGTAGTCGCATGACCCGGGCCTGGCCAATCAAAGCATTTCTCCTGGCCACAGTGATTGGTTCAGAGACGAGCACATAATGCAAGCCAAGCCAATGAAACTCAATCCTGGGACTTTTACTGGAGCTACTGCAAATGGGGCACCTTCTTTTCTTCTGGGGGCCATCACTGACCATGAGGGAAGAGCCTGCCTGAGAATAAAGCCAACACACAGAAAAGCAGTGTAGAGAAAAGAAAGACAAATAATCGTGATATGACTTGAGTCCCTGGATCCAGCCAAGTCTGAAATCAGACCTACCCTAGAACATTTCAGTTGCAGAGACCTATGAATTCTTTTTCTTAAGTCAATTCAATTGCATTTCAAACTGAAGAAATTCTGACGAATTGCAATGTTAAGAGAAAAACCCAGGTGGTGTAAGCCCAAATCCTTTAATCAATCCCAAATTACTGATGGGCCAGCATTTATTGAGTGCCTTCTGTGTGCAGGCCCTGTGCTAGACTCTGAAATACATACTATACAATTAAATTAGAACTCTATTTCTGTACTCAGGTGAGAAAAATAAAACATTTGCAAAACAGGGAGCTCAGTACCTAGGAGAGGACGATGAGGAGGAAGAGTAATAATTGTTAGGGGAATCAGAGAAGGCACTCCTTTAAGGATTGGAAAAGAAATGAAAGAGGGAATGCTGGGCCTTGGGGTTCATGTGAGAGGGGGTGTCCTCAAATGATCTTTCCCTCCTGCTCCCCTGCCTCTGTGGGAAAAAGCCTGTCATTTTATTCTGGTACTTACCATTAAATCAGTACCTTTATACAATACCTTTAGTTCTTCCCTTTTTTGATACTGTCTCTTGGTTCCCTATGTGAGGAATACTGAAATTAGCTAGTAGCCTCTATTCCCCTTTCCTCTAGAATCTAACTTGAAGAAATGTCTATTTGATTCTAGTTAATACAAGTTAGCCTGTGAACTTGTTCTACTTTTCATGTGTACAATCTCCACTTTCTCATTTTTTTATACTTGAACTGTATCTGCATTATCAGAACATACAACCATTCCATACTATATTATTTCCCTTAGTGTTAATTCTACAGGTGATTATAAACTTAGTGCTCACCCCACCCCTTATGTTAATGCCTTTCCAGTCAGTTTGTCTGTCTGTAGCTTGCTCTCTAGTACCATTCCTCTGGAAAGATTCATGGGAAATAATATTTTCTGGATTTTTGCATGTTCATAATGGTTTACCTGTGGCTTTCACACTCAAAAGACAGTTTGACTGTATATAAAATCTCGGTTCTCTTTTTATTTTCCTGAGTATCAACATGTTGCTTAGTTGTCTTCTGGCACAAAGTGCTGCTGTAGAAAGGTCTCATGTCAGTCTAACTTGTTTATCCTTATAAATCACTTATTCCTTTTGTGTGGATACCCAACAGGTTTTATCTGCTCTCTTTAAAGTCCAATAGTTTTATTAGAATAGTATTAATGTTGACTCTTCTGGGTTGATTTTCTCAGGCTTGTGGGATACTTCTTTAAGATGAAAGTTCAAGTCTTCTCTTTTATTTCAAAAGAAAAATAATCTCTGAATTATTATTTTTAGTATTTATTCTCTTCTATTGCTTTGGGTTTCTTCTTTGGGGACTTGTGTGTATGTTGGACTTTCTTTGTCCATAATCTATACCTATCAATTTTTCTTGCATTCTTTTAAAAATCAGATAGAAATGAACAAAGATTTTACTTTTCATTTTTCTCCTTTCCATACTCTATTTACCTTATGATGTTATCCATGGTCTCTAGCCAATATTTTACTCCTTCTATTTAGTTATGTTTTCCTGAAATATTTTTCCTATTGTAAGCTGTCCTTTTTGTCAGCTCTCTTTTCAAATATTCTTTTTGTCTAACAATTTCGTTTATGCTATTTGTTTCGTAGCATCCATTGTTTTCTTAATTTCTTTTAGCTTGTTTTAAAATATTAAGTTTCAGTGTTCAACTGTTTCGTGGGTCTGTCTTTGTGGAATGCATTTGTCACCTTTAAAAACACTATTTTCATAATTCTTTTTCTTAGAATAGCTTTGTCTGGGATTGGACCACAATCCTGTTCTGTTGCTCATGTGTAAGACGAATTTTTCTATACTCTTAGGAGAGGATTTTATTGTGTAGAGGAATGGGGTGATCCAGGGTAGATTGCCCAGCTTTCCACTTCTAGGGTTCCCTCTTCTGTCGTTACTGAAAAGTCTTTAAAACTATGGTCATACAGAGTACTTTCTAAAATTATGATTCTCTACTCCCTTCCCCCAGCTCTTATCCAAAATTTCTTTTCATTTCCTCTAGTGTCTCTGTCCTGCTCAATTTGGATTATGCTGCCAGCACTTTCTCCTCAATGTGGGTTTCTCTCTGGCAATGGAGCCTCAGCTGGTCAGTCCCTAGAGGCCTAGACCTCTGCCAAAATTTCCTGCAGTCCTCCCCCACTTATCTGGAACTTGGAGCCTGCACAGGCCCCTCCTAGTTTGGGTTGATGTTCTCAGATAGGTCCACTGAGCCTCTACTCCCAGAGTC